AGTAGAGGGTGTTGCTTGCTTTACTTGTATCTTTAGTTGTGGACTGTCCAAGGCATCTACAAACTGATCCCTCAGCAACAACTTGAGGACGTCGGGTGGTGCAATTAGGTAGGCCTTGTGTGCCATACTTTCCAAATCCTGTGCCAGCTCTTGCAGGCTCTCTCCTTTAGCACGGACTCTCGTCCTAAACCTAGCCCTGTAGACTTCAGACTGATTGGATTCCATACCTGAATTCTAGAGCAGCAACCAGTGCTCTATAGTTGTGCCTGTTGTTTGCTGACAACTGTCCAAGTATTTCCAGTGGTTGTCCCTTCAAGCTCGTTGCCAGATATACTGCTTTCTGCTCCTCTGTCTATCCATTCATTTCTGCCAGTAGCTCAGATTGTGCTCTATAATGCTTCCCATGGTGCCTTTCCATCGAATTCATGTGGCTTCCTTCGTACTAGATCACACATATTGCTGACATTCATATATATGGGATGTGACTTCTAACAGGGCTGAAGATGTCTGCATTAGGGGTTTAGCTGCGGGGTCTGGAGGTTGATTAGGTCGATGGCTATTATATCCTCCTTCTGTAAAAGACAGTAAATCATCCTTTAATATATTTAATTCACTTTGGAATTTGGTAATGTTTTCCATTTGTACTTCTTGCCACTGTTGTTGACTTTCCTGTAGTTGCTGCTGACTTTCCTGCAACTATTGGAGACTTTATTCCTGTTTCCTTTCTTGTTCCAGTTGCCACTGCTGTAATCTCTCTTCTTGTTTCTTTTATTTTTCCTCCAACAACTGTTGTAATTTCTCTTCTTGTTTCTTTTCTTTTTCCTCCAACAACTGCTGTAATCTCTCTTCTCGTTTCTTTTCTCGTTCTTCTTGTTTCTTTTGCTGCTCTTGTATTGCTGCCATCAAATCTGCTAAGCTGTAGTTTGATTTGCCACTTCTCGTTTCCATTTTTTTGTCCCACTCTCTGACATCAATTTGTTACGTCTCTGGTCGTTGGTTAATTTTCAGTAGAAATTCTTTCCGAAAAACTTCAGCAATACAAGTCCTTTCTTAAATAAAACTAGTTTATTCTTTCTCAATACAACTTTGCAATACACTTAATTTCCGCAGTCACTTTAACTTAAGCACACGCTATAATTCACAACGACTCACGCACTTTACTTCTGGTCACTACCGTGCTTGGCTCAATTGTCCGTCTCTACCTCTGCCTGTCTGCAATTCAATTCCAATTAATTGTCTCGCTTTATCTGGCGTGCTTATATGCAGGAATAGAGGGCATCTAGCAAATACTGGATTATTCGTGATGTTCCCCGATCCTTCTAGAAACTCATCACGTGTTACCAGCGTCACGTGACTTCTGCTGTCGTAACAATATGTACTCTGTTCACTCTAGAGAATCGAAATCTAGATTTTAAAATGCTAAGCCTATAAATTTATCACTACCCCACTGAGGGTATTCTATCTAAAAATCTGTCTATAAGCTAGTTTGAAAGAAATAACGTACTTAAATAAAACTTATTGATTGATAATACTACTATGATAGGATTAAAACAAATCTCTGGTATTCTCAAATTAAAGTGATTTATGCAAAGAGTATTAGATGAACCTTATTTATAATGAGTCATGAAGTAATGCTAAATTTAAATAAACTAACTGAGTTCAAGAAAAGAAATAAACAGACTGAATGTAATGTCTGATACAAAATGAAAACAATCATTATTTATCACCAAGACAAAAATACAGTTTGCAAACTTGCTTCGGACACTAGATGGGCCCCTTTCACTGAGCTCGTGAATTAATCAAATGGCTTTCTTCCCTCAAGATGTTTTCTTGTTAACCAATTCACTAGAAATCCACATAGTAATGTTTTTTACTTAATGGGAAATGTGATATTCACCAATAGTGTTTAGTTCTTCCCACGTGACTGGTCATCCTAATTCGACATTGAAAAACCGCTGTCGACACGCTTGCAGAACGTGTAGCGTTACAGCAACACATCCATAGGCATAACAGGTATTATCTCCAGCGACTAACAAAGGAACAAAGGAAGCTAAAACGAAATTAATTTAATGGCTTTCTGAATCACGTGTTATGCAAAAACTGCAGAGATTCGGAAGAAACGAATTTTTTCGAAAAAAACAATTCTGCATTAGAATAAGAAGGTAGAAAACACGCGGACATGTGCATACCTCGAATATTCTATTCTAAAAAACCTCATTTGATATATTATTATACAGTAGCACAGAAATAGTGATAAAGAACAAGTATAATTAAAATTCGATGACGAGG